AGGAATTTCACAGATGCGTGTTTTACCATAGTGAAAAGAGCGACACTGGCCGTGACCATTTGCAGACATATAAAGCAACTCTGCTGCCCTCAAGTAGGCAATGCTAAGAGCCGGGAGATCTTTGACACCATTATTTTTGCTCAAATAAACTTCTATGCACATTTATTGGATTTGCCTCCTTTTCAGGATTGTAACTCGATGATCTCATAAGCATCTCCTGGGCGACTTGCTGTTTTTCACTTCAGGACACGTCCCGGTCCTCATGGCCGGCCCTTGGCCTCTGCACACAAATCAAGTCATTTCTTAATTGCTGCGAAATATGCCACCAGCCGCCTCACTGGTGGGCATTTGGAGCGTCTCCAAGCACTCGCCGCCAGAACATTCGCAGGCAGGCCAGGCCGGCTCATTATGTTCTGGGGGTTTGGACTTTGCAGGATGGGGGCACGAAAGTGGGGTCGCTGAGCAGAGGCTCCGACACTGTGGTCACTGGCGGTGGGGTCCAAATCCCACGGGGACGCCGGGACCCTCGAGACCCCCCTGCCCGCTCGCGGGCACCTGCACATCACGGCACCAGAGTTCAGCAGCATTTCTCATTCTCCTGATTGCAAAGCGACGATGCCCACCTACCAAAGGGTGGAAGGTGACACCGTCTCGATACACTGGTGGGATCTGATGGGAGGGGGGTGACTTCATTACACGGCCCGGATTTGGGGACCCCCGGGGCAGGGGCTCCGCAGGTCCTTTCCAGCTGTGAGGGGAGCTGGGAATGCCCCCCATGGAGCACGTGCGTGTGCCGACATGCACATGGTGCAGGTGATTTCAGGGGTTCAGGCGGAAAAGCCCATGTGCGAGCCCCCGTCGCCGAGCCCTGCTCTTGAGTCTCCGGTGTGGCGCAGACTGCAGCATCCCTGACATTTCCAGGGAACACAAACAGCGGCGTGTTTCTAAATGTTAATGGGTTTCTCTGCCCTCTGCTGGATGCTCGCGTCGTCAGGGCGGCCCTGCGGAGGCTGAGCCCAGCGCCTGGAAATTTCCTAGAGCCTTTTTTTCTTTTTTTTTTTTTTCCCTTTTTTTTTTTTTTTTTTCCTCCTGCGCAACTGGCCCTGCAGTGTTCAATTCCGAACGACTTTTCTGGAAGTTGCTGAGGAAGCCCTGCACTTAATACCAAAATCAGCAAGTTTCAGGGAAATTATTTATCTCCCACTTTGGGAATTATTAGTTCTGGATGGAGACTCTTATTGTATAAGGTTTGCTGAAAATTGATGAGGCTATCTGGGAACCGGGAGCGTATTGATTCCCGGCGAGTAAACATTTTAAGCAAATTAAGTGGTGCTAGTAATAATAATAATAATGGGCACTATTTTTCAAGTGTGTGCTCTGTGCCAGGCATTTAATCCCTCCAGGGATGACAGGGGCAGGTTTTATTACCCGAATGTTACAGATGAAGACTCTGAGAGATGCAATTGCTTGGCCCCACGCCGCACGGCCGGTGGCCAAGGAAAGTTCTACACCCAACCTGCCACACTTGGAGCCGGTAGGGCCACACAGACGAGGCTTCGGGCCCTGAGCGCTGGGCCACTCGGTCCTCTCATCTCCAAAACAGCAGCAGGTTCATACGGAGACAACGAAGACTTGTGATGGGCAGAGAAACCGAGGGCCCTGGGAGGTGACAGTGTGCTCCAGGGTCACACCTTTGCTAGGAGTGGAGAAAGGAATAGAATCCTGGCCCACAAATATACCGAAAACAGGACAATGGTTTTCAATCCCTCTCGCCTGCAAAAGCCGGCCCTGTGTTAAAGGGGAGATGAGAGAGGGTGGGGAAGGAGCCCAAGGCCCACCAGCACCAGACAGACTTCCTCCTTGCTGGAATCAGGACTCAGAGCCATGTGCACAGGGAGTGTGTCTCACTGTCACTGAAAGCCATCTCTGGGCTACGGAGAAAGTCCCCCAAGTTACCACCAGGGGGAATGCCCTTCCGCTCTCCGGAAAGCACTGGTCGGTAAATGCTCCTCGGGTGAGGGAAGTACCTGGGGCCAAGATGCAGGGAGGACTGAGGGGCAGTCACGGCACCCACCCCCGCCCAGGTCCTGGAGGATCCCGGAGACCAGACCCAGAGACCGGATGCAGAGTAAAATTCAGCATCTCTGTCCGGCTGCCTCTGAGACGACGGGAGCGGCAGGGGGAGCCGGAAGCTGCAGGTCTGGGAGGCTGGGTCAGCCGAGCCGGGCCCGGGGGAGATGTTCGAGCTGCCCTCTGAACCCCACAGTGAATGACCTCTTCCCGACTGGTACAACACTGACTTCTAGAAAAAATCTGAGGCAACGTACAATTAAACATGTGTACAAGGAAGGGCGGCTCACGATAGCTGACGCAGGGGAAGGCAGGGGCAAGGCAGGGCTGGCGCTCCATCCGAGCACCCTGGCAGGCAAGGTGAACGTGGCCGCGTGGCCTGCAGAGCAGGCATTATCTGCTTGTCATGAGCAGCCCCCAGGCCCCTGCTCTCCAGGCTGACACGCGGAGATAAGAGATACGGAGAACACTGCCAGGAATTATACCCAGAAAGCTAACCAGAGCCACCACCCCCCCGCCCCCCGCCAAGACACAGCCCATCCTGTGCTGGCAGTGAGGCCCACCTGGGCAACCACAGGCCACAGGGATTCACACTGAGGCCCATCCCCAGTGCCTTGGCCTAAAAGGATTTCAGGGTCCCACAAAAATGTTTGAAAGTAAGGGGGGCACTTGGCAGGATGAGCACTGGGTGTTATGCTAAATGTTGGCAAATTGAACTCCAATAAAAAAATAATAATAATAATACAAAAAAAAAAAAGAAAGTGACCCCACAAAATTTTTTTCTGTTGGCTCCTCCAAAAATAAAATGCTTAATCAAATATCCACAAAATGTAACATGATTATGACCAATTGCAAATCAACTCTTTTTTGGCTATGAATATGTTTTATTCAGTATGTGGTGCAAGTTTATTTGAATATAATAGAAAGTTTATTAAAGCTGTCCATAAAGGAGAGCCCCCAGGACCCACAGGAGTGGATGAATGACCCTGCCAGAGACTGAGCAAAATGTCAGCCATAGAGTCTGGAATTTGCCCCTTTTCTGGCCAAGTGTTTAATTGGATTGGGGGCATATGGAGATACAGTGCTTGCCTCCAAAGTTTTGGGGACAAGTGTCAGGCAGTTGGCTCTCCTAACAACAAAGACAGCAGAGCAAAGCTGCTGGCAAACACATGACTTTGAGTAATGCCACTTGTTAAGTTAAAAGGGTGCCCGAGTCGCCCCGCCAACACACCTCATTAGCTAAATGAATTGACCCAATGGATGGGGTTATTTAATATCTGTCTACTGACTTTGGAGAATGTCTGCCAAAAACAAGATCTCAGTTTTGACATAGTTGATGCTGAGCTATATTTTTTTTCTGACTATTATTTGTCAAACAGATTGCTGAGCCGGGTACAGCCACGTCTACCGAGTGTAAAGCCACATCATCAACACGGATCTTCCTTGTTATGACAGCAGGAAATGCAGCCAATTAATTTAAAAGCCGAATCCAGTTATCGGGATGTATGTGGGAAAGAAGGGCGGCCGGGATACGGTGCTGTTTCCCATCACCTTAAAGACAGAACTTCCACAGTCGAGAGACCATTGTCACACAGATCCCAGAGGTCGCGTCAGATTATAGGGCCGTAGAGAAACATCCGAAACCGCGGGGTGGGAGTGTGGACAGTACCTGTCGCCCAGCAACCCCCGTGGCCGTTCCAGCCTGTGGCTTCCGAGCCACAAACATCCCAGGAGGTTGGAGCTGTTTCTGCCACTTGTCCTCAGTGACATGGGGTAGAGTTTGGCAATAGGAGGCAGTCCCACAGGTGGGCCTCAAATCGGCTACCCCTTCTGTACCATGCCACGATTTTTTAAAAATCCAAGCCAACACTTAAAAAATCAGAATGTATCCTATCCAAAGGCTCTAGAAAAATCTAGCAGCCTTTGGCTCACGGTTCGGCTGGAGCTGATTCATGGCGCCGCCGTCAGACAGGGGTGTGCATGTCAGCCGACCCTGCTCCCCACCTTCCCCTCGGGCTCCCACCCCCAGCTCGGACACAGGCCAGGCTGGGCCCGCGCAGGTCCGCAGCCCTTGTGAGGCCCAGAGCCTAGAACTAAGCATAGGAGGGATGATGGCGTTGCCATGGTTCTAGGAGGGAAGGAAAACGCTGGAGGAAGTGGGGTGCCGTGGCGGGGGGGTGCTTGGACCACTGGGGATGGGACCAAAGGAAAGAAGGTGCCAGCTCTGATTCTCTCCTCTATGAGCTCCTCCTCATTCTCTACACGGCCTCCTCCAAACCCAACGGCAACCGATCACCTTTCACGAAGACTAATAAGGCACCCTGTGGGCGACGTGACTGGAGAACCAAGCTCTCTGCTCTTTGCCCCTCCTCCCCACACCCCGGTCCCAGCAGCAGGCCCCTCAGAGATGGCTCAGGAAAACTTCTGGAACATCCCAGGCCGCCGTTCCTGAGTTCTACAAACTGAAATTCACAGCCCACCCGGCACGCGACCTCCCGACATTTGCCAGCACGTGTTCCGGGCGATAGCCACAGCGCTGTTCTCATCGTTGCTATTACTTCTATTATGCTGATGCATTAGATGGTCTCCGGACGCCAGAGAAGGTAATTGGCTCCCATCACCCCAAGAGCGTTATTGGATACAATGTACAAATAGCTTAAAATTAACGGCTGGCATCAGAGCCCGCTCGGGCCGTAATGGATTACGGAACGAACACAAACCCACCTACTTCCATCAACACCCTCCCCAAGTCATTTGCAAACAGGACAGATAATTTAGTATCTGATTCAGATTAATTGCCATGTTTTCTGGGCTTCCTGCTCACCAAGGGCCACCGTGCGTGAATTTGAACTCCGAAATGTTTCCCGAGTCCGCTTCGAGGGGCCGACGTACCCAGTGGGAGTTAGACTGGGCTCTGCTTGGAGCCAAACCCAGACTGTGCCCTGAGAAAAACCTTGTTCTTGATCAAGTTCTTTGGGTCATTTGTCCCCAACCTTGACATCCAGTAGAAGAGGAACATGCGCCGCTCACTGTGCTTGCGGTTCATGCGCCGGGCGATGGACATGGGGGTCTCCCCCCGGGCATCCTTTTCATGTATGGAGGCTCCGTAACTGAGCAGGTGGTTTATACAGTCCAAACGGCCCATGGCTGCAGCCACGTGCAGGGCCGTCCTGCCCATGGGGGTTTTGCTGAGACAGTTGGCTCCTGTAAGACAAGATAGCTGGCTGAGGGAGGGTCACGCTCCTGGCCTTGCAAGAGCCTCGCCTCCAGAATCACAAACAGGAACAGAAGCTCGGGACGGGGGAGGCCATAAAAAAGAATGCTTGGGAGGATTAATTACTGCCCCCAACCCAAGCACCGAGTGTAAGGGAGGCATCGCCACAGGGTCCCAGCACCCAGCACCGCCTTGCCTCCACTCTGCCCACAGCACGCTCCTGCTCAAACCCCATTTCTGACATCCACTACCCTCGGGGTCATTTTCTAGGTTGTTACTGCCCTATCTCACCCTCTCCCCGCCGTCCCCGCCCACCGTGCTCTTCCTCCCCTCTGTCCATGCTCCAATTATACCAGGCTTCTATCTTTATTCCTCAAATACACCCGCTCCCTCATCCTGCCCCAGGCCTTTTGCACATGCTGCTCCTTCTGCTAACAACACTGTCACCCCTTTCTGCCCCCTCCCCACCCCTGGCTAACTCTTTCCTTCTTTATCTTCCATTCACTTCCTCAGGAAAGCCTTCCCGAGCTCCCCTCCCCATGAATCACCCTCGTATATGCTCAGTAGACATTCTGCATCTTCAGAACATGCCATGCACGATTGACCATGGAATTAATTATTTGTAATAATTTGCTGACTTCCCTTCATAAACTCCACGAAGGCAGAAAACACACTTGTTTTGATCACTGCTGTTTTCATCCCCAGCACGTAGCGCGAGGCCTGGAGAAGACAGGCGCTGGGGAAATGACAGACGATGGGCAGCCTGACTCATGGACAGATTTCACTTCGATTGAATTCCTCACTGCCTCCCGCAGATGGATGGGCTAATGACAGGTGTCCAATATGGACTTGTTGAATTGAATCAAATTCTAGGTAACAAATATCATGACACAGAAAACAAGGCAATTCAATTACAAGCAGCTGACATTTCTGTAGCCAGTTTTTATGAGCTATGGCTGGTCGGTGAGGTAACGTTTTAAATAGGTTCTCATAACGCCCAGCCTCAGCCTCCGCACGGCTTTGCGGCGGCTGTGTGCAAAGGACAGAAAACTTTGCAAAGCTGGCTGTAATGTTTTAACTGGTGCTTTCAAATACATCACAGTTCCATCAGAGTGAAAATGACTTTTTATGAGCTTAAAGGACTGCTGGTCTGTGAACAGCCCATATTTCATCCCACAACAGGCGGCGTGCAGAAAGCAGTAGAGGAAGGAGAATAGTCAGGAAAACCTCTACCCATCACGCCAGCGCCAGTCATCCTGCCCCAGCCTCGCGGATGCTTCCATCTTGCTTGTTGGAGGTGGGGGAAGGAGCAAAGACGAAGTGGAGAGGCTGGGGTCAAGGCCGCGGGCAGGAAGGGTTCTGATATGGGAGACCCTCGGATGAGGCCCCTTTGTGGGCCTCAAACCCCTGACCAAACAGTACGTCACATGTTCTTCCTTTTCCCGAGGAAGCCGGTGGCCTGGGCTGTCTGCAACCATTGTCTATTGTTCTGGAATGGCCGACACCTCAATCAGTGGGCCTCTTTTCCCAAAAATATCCTACATCCAGGGGAGATAAAGTGTGCTCCAGCAGAATCTCATGCGAGCCCTTGCATTCGGAGACAATACAGGCCAAGGCTTCTATTTCTATCAACAGAGAGGCGGGGAGCAGCCTGCCCTTGCGCAGGGAGGTGGGGGGAGATGAAAAGAGGGTTTGGGGTCAGGGTCTCCTGCCGTGAGACCCTGGTAACAGTCTCAAGCCGTGGAGAAAGGAGATTGGCTGGCCTGCCGACCCCCAGGAGCGTGAGGCCGGTGTGGGGCTAGAAGCCTTCGGATGGTTGCAGGAACCCCAACTTCAGGGGAGGCAGAAATAACTCGGGGAGTTTGGGCCCATCTCCAGCACTGTGCCTGTTTGAACATAAGAGGTCAGGGAGCTCTTTTGACTCCTCCTGCGAATTAGTGTCTAGAAAGTTGCATTTCCCATGACAGAAGGAGTCTTCCTGAGGCCTGGCCCAGAGAGGGGACAGTGTCTTTAATGAGCATGTCCTCAGACACCTTCAGACAGAGAGCGAGTGGCCCAGTCACAGGCCCGTGATTGGTGGGTGACACACCCTGGGTGGTGGTTGTTGACGCCGTGGCTGAAGGGCCCAGGGAGACGAACCGCGCTGTCCTCCCCCAACCCACAGAAGACGCCAACTCGTGAACATACTCGGCCGTGTCTCAGAATTACCATGTTCTAGAAGGTACTGCACAGCATCCGGGTGACCTCTGTGAGACGTAACGTACAGGGCCACGAAGGCCCTCTGGGCCATCCAGTCCTTGCACTGCTTGCGCTCGTAACGCTGCGAGTTGGCAGTTCGGTACAGAGAGTCCTCGTCAACACCAAGGCAAGACAGCTGGGCGGGCGAAAGGGGTTGACACGGTGAGTGCGGTTGGTTTCAAGGGTGTCGCTACACCCGCCTGGCGGGTGGCTGGACACCCCCGAGGGGAGGTTTGCTAAAACGCCGAGGGAAGGCTCGTGATGGGAACAGAGGGCGAAGCTGGAACACACCCAGGGGAGGACATTGTTGAGCACTCTATACGTGGCCAGGAAATACGCATTTACCATCAGGCCGGCTCGGGAGGCAGGAAATTCTTCCTGTCGGTGTTTTGAAGAGAGAAAATAGCCTTTCTGGGTGTCCAGAGGAAGGTGGTTGTGGACATTAAGGAAGACACCAGACAACACGGAGTGGCCTCCCCAGAGGGGAATGCGCTTCTCTGGAGACTTGATGAATTCTGGCCTTCCGATCTATTTTCGGGCCCATTGTCTCCGTTAACTTTTGGAACACTCTGAACTCCACTCACGGATGAAAAATAGCCCCATAATATAATCATCCCATGGTGAAGTATGGCTCTGAGCACGAGAGGCTCCGACAGAGAGGAACTCCGCCCCAGATGCGGGGCATCCGGTGTGGGGGCGACAGTGGGGAGCCTCCCCAGAGACCACCCACATCTCCCAGGCCTGACCCCCGCAACCCTCCCGCAGCCAGCCTTCCCTGACCCCTTTTCTGGCTGGAAGCGAACTCTCCCCACATACTCATGGCCCTTCACCCAAGTGGACTTTCTAGAAGGAACATACGCTCCCCGCCCCCAAGAAGCCCCCCGACTTCTCTGTCGGGTAAACATTCTGGTTTCCTCCTCCCTTCTCCCTGCCGCCCGCCCCAGAGCTCAGCTGAGAGCCAAGTGCAAGGCCTGGTAAAGAGTAGGCACCTGCTGTGTATCCAGGAGCACATGGTCCTTCCGCCCTAGGGTAGGGGCAGGCCCCCATTAGGATTTTTGCACCATCAGGTGCTCTAGACTGCATTTCCCAGTTATCCAGAGCTCTTCACTCACTGTTAAATGAGGTTTTCAACTTTACAAAACGTACAAGTGAATAGAAAATACACTGCCCTAGTTCCTTTTCGGGGAGTGGGGTGGGTGGGGTGTGAGTGGTTTATAACTGAACACAAGTGAACGCCGTGAAATAGCAAACCCAAGAGTGAATGGAAACTCTCGATATAGTATTTGATCATTATGACACGAGTCCTAGTTCTCTTTTTTCCTACTCTGAAACTTTTACTGGAATATTCACATGAAAGACTGAATTCCTCCCCCCCCACCACCACCACAGACACAGTTTACGGTTGCTTCATGAAGTATAATATCCATTTAGAGAAGCATGAAAGCACCTTACTGGGATCCCCTTCCACAGCCGCCAAAACCAGTTCCGTCCATCCATCATAATGCCAGATACATAATGAAATAATTCCACCAGGAACAACATCATGGAACTTCAGCGTAGCATCATCCATCAAAACTCCTACAGGGAATAATTTTTTCTTAAAAAAAAAAAAGGGTATTAAAGATAAACCATGACACTGGTTATCTTAAGAGATTATCTGACCTTGGGTATCACAAAGATCATTTTAAAACCTTGAGCACTAATCTCATTTGATGACTCCACACGAGTCTGTTTGGGGTCGTTAATGCTTTTTAGAAAATTAATTTGGCTCGGCTCACACAGAAGTCAAACCAAAAAAACAAAAAAGCAACAATTTCCAAAATTCAGTAATTATGACCTGTTCTGTTGCGGGGCGGGGGGGGGGGGCGGCGGGGAAAGCATGAGTCAGTAAAGACATTTTATGAGGCAAACTCTATAAACAGGACTACTTGAACTGTACATTACAGACGCAGCACAATGGACCTACTTACGTCATACACTAAACTAAAATACTCACGCTGGTTAGGGTTGTCAACAGTTGGCTAGAGATGTGACAATGGCAAAACTTTGTTGCATCTTTCAAACTTGGCACTATGGACACTTTAGACTGGACCAGCCTCTGGGGTGGGGGCCGCTCTGGGCACCGGAGGGTGTCAGCAGCATTCCTGGCCTCTAGCCAGCGGATGCCAGTAGCATACACACCTGGTTGTGACCATCGAAAATGTCTCTAGATGTTGCCAAATGGGCCCTGGGGACAAAATCGCCCCAGTTGAGCATTTATGGTAACGTAAGAACTGTAACGTTGACATTCGCCATGATTTGGACTTGGGGCGTTAGAACTCCTTTGCGTCATCACCGAGGACACTCACATGAGTCTCATCTGAGACAATGGGGTGAGTGGATCTACTCACACTTTGTATGTTCAGACCCTTTGGGAAAGACCGTCGGGATGACAAGATATAGGACTCTAGAACATCTTAAGCAAAGTTGTGTTTGGTCTACGTTTTTAAATACACGTACGTTTACACGGCCACCTATAATCTTGCTTCAGAATAACATAACTTCTCTTCTCGACAAGCGACGCCACAGGTGTAAAGTCTCGACCCTGCCCGTTGGGCCATCACTCATTCCGAGGGGAGCTCACGAGTCGTCTGGATTCGCTGCTAAGTGCCTGTCCCAAGCACAGACACTCTCTGATCCCCATGACGAGCCGCGTTTGTCATCTCCACTTGCTGGTGAGGCCAGGAAGTAGCAAAACCAGGCCTCCCACCAGACCAGGCATGTGTCGCGCTAGGCTCCGACGGGCCCCGTTGGTGATTACGAGAAACTTCGGATGGTGGGTGTAAACAGGGAATAGTGATTAGCAAATTTGCTAATTAGGATCTTATGTGTGGTTCTAACACAGAAGACAATCAGTAATTAGTCTTCAGTAAGACAACTTGACTTCCTAACAACTTTGGAAAAAACAAACAAACAAAAAAAAAAAAACCAAAACTGAGTAAAGCTGTGTTTCCCTGAGAAAGACAAGAGTGCAGTTCACTCATGCTGAACAGCTCTTCGAGAAAGCAGAGCACATTCTCTCTTTACAGGCGGGCAGCAACTGCCTTCGGCTTAGACAAATACTAATTATCAGCAGCTAAATAAATTATTAGAGTTGACAACAGACATGTAAGGTCGACCCTCGTCCGTGAGTTTGCTTGCCCCTTTCAGATTTGTGTCTCTCCGGGATTTCACGCGCACATCGTCTCGCGTGCTCCCCCCGGGGACCTCTAGGTGGGTGAAGAGGCCCGGGCAGGTTATGTAGAGGCAGGAGCCCAAATTTCTTTTCTCGACATAGTGGTACGTCCTTTCTTTCTTTCTTCCATGTTCGCTGGCACCAGTAAGGGTCGCCACGGCAGGAGAGGTCAAGCTTCTCCCAGTCGCTAAGTGTTGCTGAGTGACAGGACTGTGACATCAGTGCTAAGTCACTAGGTCTCTTTCACTGCCTCTCAGCTTTCTTGAATTTATGGCTCGGCATAGCTCATCAGTGAAAATAAATTAACCGAAGGGGTGCCAGACATCTGGAGTGCGGGATACATAATTCTCGAGTCACTTTGTTTCGGAACGCGTGCTGTCTTCAGCGGCTCACCTCATCGCTAACGTGCTAAGTCCAGACGGAGTTTGAGATCTACCTCTTTCCAAATAAAGCCTCGAAAATGCTCCCAGAGCATCTTCCGAACACACCTATAGCAAAATAAGTACATCAGGGAAGGGGCTCAGCTTATATCAAAGGGAGAGCAAAGGCAGGCATCCTGGCCTTCGATGCCCTTTTGAGCTTCCCGGGCCATCGCCGTCTACAGGGGGCCAGGGCACTGCGGATTCCGGAGGCAAAGGCTCTGCGTTCCAGGTTAGGAAACCGAGCCCCGGAAGGGCAGTGTCCGGAGACCGCCGATCCCGGAGCCAGGCTGCTCTCAGCCCGCCCTGTCCCCGTCCCCGTGGCTCCCCGGCTGCAGGGTGTCTGCGGGACCGCTCTCCACCGCCTGCGCGCAGCAGCCCCGAGAGCTTTCCCAGCTCCGTTCTCTCCGAGTATTTTTGTGTTGATTTCAACCGGGTTGGGGAGATGTGGAGCCCCGGGGCTCTGATCCTGTTCTCATATCCTAAATATCATAGGGATCGGGACCGGGACAGCCAGGTCCTCAGGCTGAGGGAAGGAGATTGACGGACGGAGGGAGCGGGCTCCGGAGCCCTCGCCCTCCCCTAGGAGCCACCCCCACGGGATCTGTCTGGAGAGGGGGCCTTGGGGTCTTCATCTAGCCACAGTGAGCTCTGGGTGCTGGGTTCTGATTCTGATCGGGCTGGTTTTGATCTCCTGACGTGGCCAAGGACACAGCTTGAGAGCCGGGGTTCTGAGATGAACTGGGTTAGTGCCAGTACTCGGGGTTCAAACGTGGATAGGGTTTGCTTTGAGATTTGGGGTCCTGACGAGGGCAGAGTTTGCTCTGGATGTGGGGTTCTGATGAAGGCAAGGTTTGCTTTCTGGGGTCCTGGTATGGGAAGGGTCGATTCTGGGGTGTGGAGTCCTTGTGTGGGTAGGACTTGTTTTGGGATTTGGGGTTCTAACGTAGCCCTGGGGTACTATAGCAACCAAGGGTAAGTAATCGGGACAGGTCAGCCCTCGGATTGGGGGGGTCTTGGTGGCGACAGGTTCTGCTCTGAGACTTGGGATCCTGAGATGGGCAAGATTTGGTCTAGAACTTGGGGTTCTGGTGTGGACAAGGTTGGATGATGGATTTGGGGTTCAAATACAAGCAGAGCTTGCTTCAAATTTTGGGGTCCTCACGTAGGCAAGGCTTGCTTTGAACTTTGGCTTCCTTACATGGATATGGTTGGCTTAGACATAGTTTCCATGAGATTTGGGGTTCAGATGTGGGTGTGTTTGGCATGAGTTTTGGGGTCCTGTTGTGGACAGAGCTTGTCTCATGTTTTGGAGACCTTATGAGGATATTTTGCTTGGGACTGGTGTTGTGGTGTGGTTGTGATGAGCTTGGGAACTGATTTCCAGATGTAGGAGTTCATTTCGGGTTCCGGCATCCTTATATAGAGATGGCCGATGGTTGGGGTTCAGATTCATAATTGGGGCTCAGGATTGGGCTTGTGTGCTCTGGGATTTAGGGTCATGATCTGGGTAGAATCTGCCTTGGGATTTAGGTTTCTGTTGCAAGCAAGGGTATTTATTTGGGGTTCAAACATGGGCATGGTTTGCATAGAGATTTGGAGTCCTAGGGTGGGCAGTTTATCTCAGGCATTAGTGTCCTTTGGTGGACACGGCTGCTAGAGGATTCAGGGTTCTAAGGATCGCATGGTTACCCTCGGGACCTGGGGTTCAGTCTTGGCCAAGTTTGTTCTTGGTTTTAGTGTCCTTTCATGGACATAGTTCCTGGAGGATCTGGGGCTCTGGGGTAGTCATAGTTACCCTGGAGATTTGAGGTTTAGTCTTAGGTAAGTTTGCTCTGGATTTGGGGGTCCTGAAGTGGGCAGGGTTTCTTCTGAGAAAATGCTTTAGCATCCCTGTGTAGACACAGTTGCCAGAGGATTTGGGGTTTGGAGGTAGTTGTAGTTATCCTGGAGAAGTGGGGTTCAGTAGGGCTGAGTTTGCTTCAGGCTTTGGCATCCTTGTGTGGACACAGCTGACTGCAGGACTGGGGGGTTTATGAGTCCAACATGGGGATTTGGAAGTTTGCTTTGAGTCTGGGGTCCTGATATAGGCAGGTTTGCCCTAGTTTGTAGGGTCTCACTGAGGACAGGCTTTGTTTCAGGCTTTTGCTTTTGTGTGGTCTCTTGGGACTGGGGGCCCTGATGAAGACATGGGCAGCTTGAGGGTCCCAGGGGTCCTGCTGCGGCAGCAGTGCCTGTGTTGAGATTTGGGGTCCTGCCATGGGCAGGAGCTACTCAGGGGTGTCAGGTCTGGCTAGAGAACTTGCTGTGGGACCAGAGTCCTGACCCGGGCAGGATCTGTTCGTGGGTCAGGGTCTGGCTTGGGGACAGGGTCGGCCTTGAGATCTGAGGTCTCACGTCAACCTGGTGTGTCCGGGATTGGGGAGTTCTAGGGGGTGGGGTGGGGTTTGTTGTGATACCTGGGGGTGGGGGGGTCTCCTCGGGGGCTGCGGGTTCAGGAGGGGACGGCGCTCGGGTTGCAGGCAGTACAGGGCGCGGGAAGGGGGCGGGCAGGGGCCACCTTGGTCCAGGTACTGGAGCCGCTGCAGGTCCAGGGGGATGCCGACCAGGAGGTCCAGCTCCTCCTTGAGCTCCCGCACCGTCATGTCGCCGCGGCAGTTCGCCACTTGGAAGGTCTCCCCGGTGTCCTCCAGCAGCACCCGCATGACGAAGGTGTCCGGGGCCAAGTCGAGAGCCGGGCTGGGGGCCTGCGGGGCCGCAATGCCACCCTGGCCCTGGCCGGGAGCTCGGGCCGCCGACTGCGCAGGAAGGGGCCGCGGGCCCGCCGAGCCCGCCCCCCGCCCGCCCTGCCCGCCCCGCCCGGGGTCGGGGCCCAGAGCGCCCCCCGGCGGCGCCCCTGCCCGAGCCCCGCCGCCCACCGCCGCCCGCCGCATGGCCTCCCGCGGCCCCCTCGCCCCCGCCCCGGGACCCCGCCCGGCCGCCCGCGTCACCGCGCCCCGCCCTGCCCCGCGGACGGCCCACCCGGGGCGCAGGGTCTCAGGGGCGCGGGGGGGGGGGGGCGGGGGGGGTGAGGGAGGGCCCCACGGGGCGGGAGCCAGGCCTGCCTCCCTCGCAGCCTCGGGGCTGCTCTCCAGGTCCCTAACCCTAGCCGGGCCCCTCTGGTCCTCGGCCTCCTTGGCCCTTTGCAAGACAGGATTTGCGGAATTGGGGGCCTCCGGCCTGGAGGGAATAAGGCCCCACGTGCTCCTGGCATGCATGGTCTACGCGGTCCAGCGCAGGGCGCAGCCCGCCGGACGATCCTATTTCTGGCACCAGTGAAACACCGGGCAGAGCTGGGCGCGGCGCTCTTCGTGGGGGTCTGCAGGGCCCCAGGAGAACCCGCCAGTTCTGAGAATGCTCTCGAATTCTCCGAGGGAGAAAGGTGCTGATGAAAACACTCAGCACCGGAGAAACGTCCGCTTGGCGCAAGGCTGAGCCGGCTCCCCCGTGGAGACGCCTTCTCCATCTGGGAGAAACTCATCTCGTGTTTTTCCATTAATTCACCCAAGAGGCGGCAGAGTGTTCAAGCACACAGGAGGCTTACGTGTGATGATCACATCACAAATAGCACCCCACACCTAGGAACAATGAATCTACCCAGAGCTGGAGTGATGAGCGTGCAGAAGGAGAGAAAGGAAGGTGAGGGGAGCAGAACCACCTCCGAAGGACCGCAGTCATTACAAAAGAAGAAAATGTGAGCCTTTAACATACTTTTCTGCAGAGAAATTAGTCATAAAAAAAAAAAACTGCATTGGAAAGCCGTTCATATTAAGTTACAGGCCATTTTTAGTATATAAGCTCAACTTTTTAAAGGCTGGATTATTTACCAAAGGGTCTCTACAGATCTCTACAAGCACATTGGATTCAGCATGCAGACTCCACACATCACAACACAAACCGAGGCTTATTTTTTTTCCTTAATGGAAAATGAAGCTCTGCACAGAACACAAGATTCCAGTTGCATAATTCTACTCTCAACAGACTTTACAATATGACAATTTCAATTTCTACACAATAAACAAAAAAAAAAATAAAAGTTGTTACTGAAGCTAACAGTATCTCCATCTATTTACTTTAGGCAAGTATTGAACACAAAATAGACTGATTTTTTTTCTCTCTTAATATGTAGCCTCCAATTTATTAGCTCACGCTCTGCTGGAGTTGCCAAAATGCTACTCTGGGTTACCGTTTGAAATTCTCACACATGTACCTTATTTTCTTTGGCACGGTATAGATTCCTTCCTTTCTTTTTAAAGAATCAGCTCAGTGGAATTTGGGGGAGGGGGACAACATCCTGTATACCAGGAAATTCAATATATAGCTCCAGAAATTTTATTTTAAAGAGAGAAAGAAAAGACAAGACCCACAAGAAAAAGATCCAAGGAAAGAATGGCAACAGCAGCATGCCCTTTGCAGCCAGCTCTTGAATGGCCATTCCCCAAATGGGCCATTCCTTCCTTCCTTTAGGCCTGCCTTCAAGGAGATTAAAAATAGAAACAAGAAAAATAACTGGAGCCTACATGTTATGCAGAATGTAATCAAATGTTCATAGAATCTCAAATTATTAATGAAAATCCTGTTTAAGTTCCAGAGCATCTTAGTCTAAATTTTAAAAGCATGAAATCTAAGTTCTGTATACTTGTCAATTTGAAGAGTGTCATAATTCAACCCCCCAAAACCCCAGGCAAGTACATGGACTGATCAGAACTATGGGTTCCTATTCTCTGTTAAGATTCTAAAGTATTAGCTATAAAGCCAATATCCGTGCATCTCAATGAACAATTTCTCTCAATGATCAATACGTTCTTAAATGTATGATAATAAATCCATGTAAGAATGAAAAATCTTTCTACTTTATGCCTCTGTCAAAGGCCAGTACATCTTTATGGATACAGTTACCACAAGAAGGGGAGTGGTGAGTGCCTGAGGAAAAAGTTCCAAGTACAGTTTATACAAAAGTACAATATTAGAAAGACTGCCATAAATCATTCTTTAGTAGATTTCCTTAACTATCACATTTTTCAAAAGTAAACAAATTGGGCTATATTTGCAGCAACTCAAAGTGGAGCATAAATTTAAATGATGTATTTGTTCTGTTCACTGATAGGAGGCTAATATTACATTAATATATTTTCTTCCTGTCAAGAGTTATTTACATATGTACATTATTTCAGTTAAAAATAAAATGTAATACCATAAACTGTATTTTACAGGAAAGCATGAGGGAAGCCAAATATGCAAGTCTATTGAAGACTTAAAAGCTTCTAATAAACTACTTTATTTGGGGAGGAGGGGGGCTTTCAATAATATAGTCTGTCATAGGGAAGGCAATCCGATGCTATGGAGGCCCCCATCCCCAGCTAGAGCCACCTGGTTCTAAAACCTTGTCACAGACTTCCTGATCAGGCAGGTAGGGGCGCAGAAAGGTGGGGCCTGTCCCAGGTGCAGTTCCTGGGACTGCGGATGGGAAAGGGATCTTTTGAGTGCCCTCCCTCGAAGTTTCAGAAATCTTTCCTCCTTCGGAAGATGTGACACAGTCAGACCCGACAGGCTGGGGTGAGTGGTGAGTGAGTGCCACGTGCGAAGTGACCAGAGTGCTCGGGATCACAGAGTGGTTAATTCTGTTCTTCTAGCACACGTGTGTCTGCCGTACTCCGCCGCTTTGGTTCCAGGGTGGCAAAAAAGGACACATCTGGGTCTCGGTCTAACTGTAGAGCTAGGACGGTCTCCTCAACGACTTGAAGATGAGGGTTACCGGCATTTCTCAAATATGCTAGAGAGAGAAAACTATAGTTTGGATCACTTGTGCCATGAACTGTGCTCCAAAACATATTCTAGTTTGGAGTTTTTTTTAAACCATGTCTCAGGACGATAAAGCATTTTTCACAGAATAATCACATACATAAGGCCTTCACAATGATAAAATGATTGCTTTCATCAAAGACTATTTCCTAAATTTCAAAGATGGACTCCCAAGAATGAGTATGAGTATTTTTTCAATTATAGTTTAAGGACTTTCCATGTCATCTTTCCTTTCCTCCAATATGAAAGAACTGACAACATGTGGAGTACAGGAGCGGGAGCAGGTGGCTGGCAGGATAGAGTGGGGGGTCGGGAGGGCAGGGGTAAGACAGGCATTTGGGAGACAGACTTGAAGGTGTCCACTCCCACGTGGTGTAGGTGTGAATGTGCCTCCAAGGGACGCAGTCTCAGGTTACGTCCTGTTCATGTGGAGCTTTACATTTTTCTGACTACAAAATAATAGCATCTAAACTTCACCGTAATTAAGGCTTACATTTGCTGCCTTTCATAATGTCTACGTCATAACTCAACATTTACAAAAGTTTCCCTCATTCTTAGAAGACTGTGTGAGGTTCTGAATTTTATTTTTTTAATTAATTAATTTATTTTTTAAAGAATATTTATTCATTCATGAGCGACAGAGAGAGACAGAGACACAGGCCAAGGGAGAAGCAGGCTCCATGCACGGAGCCCGACATGGGACTCAATCCTGGGTTTCCAGGATCACGCCCTGGGCCGAAGGCGGCACTAAACCGCTGAGCCACCCGGGCTGCCCGAGGTTCTGAATTTTAGCATGAAGCTTATTGAATGTAAAAACGGAACCACCATTTTATAAATAACAAACTACTCTGCATAAAAGTTAATACATCAATTTATATATGGTAAGTCTGAAGTATGCCATCACATCATGTGCCACAATTTCTTAAAGAGGAAATCTGGTTGCTGCCTGATGAACTTTAAAATGTGCAAGTTCAGAAAAATGGTCCACATACCTTTTTCCAACAGCGTCTGCCGTAGGGCTTTGGCCAGCAGAACCCTCACGTTTGGCACAGGATCCGTCGCAAGGCTTAAGAGGTTGGGGAGCAAGTGTTCAACAAACTGGTCCACGGGGATACACTCCTCCCTCACCACCGCCTGTGACAAAAAGACAGCCACAGCCAGAGGATTGATACTTCTCCACAATGATCAGCAGGTTTCTTTCTTTTTATTACTATTATTATTATTATTATTATTAGATCAGCAGATTTCTTCTAAAAACATACACTTCCACAATTCCAAAGAAGTCATTTTGGGGTCTACTGGTCTCAGGGGCATGTAAGTGTGTGTGTGTGTGTGTGTGTGTGTGTGTGTGTGTGTGCGCGCGCACGCGCCTAAATTTGGTTAGAAACACAGTGAACAATTTCAAATTCCTTACCAAGCACTGGTTACAGGTGGTTTAAATTTGGTGAAGAGAACAAAGGCTTCTGAGTTGGACAGGCCTAACTTGCTCACTTACTAGCTTCACCTTTCTGGGCCATCTGTAGAATGTGCAAGTGGTGGGGATAGCAGAGCATTTTTGCAAAGAATCTAGCAAAGTACCCAACAACGAGGATTCAGAACCCTCATCTCTAGTACTCACTAGAACTCAGGTTCCGAGGGCCAGTGCCAGGCCTGTGTAGCACCAGCCCAACCCCAGACTCCAACGCAGGCCCGGCCCTCTCTGTGAGCACCTGACAAACACTGCCTCTGTGAGAACCAGACGCATCTGCACGCTGCCACTCCGTGACAGAGTTCTACATACGGGCTCTCGTTTACATTTCACGGCCGACCATGGAAGCCAGGATGAGCCTAGTTTTATAGGAGAGGAAACTGTGGTCCACTGTGGTGCCATCCACAGGTGTCCTGGTCAACGAGTATCAGTTGGGTGGGGGGGAGGCAGGGAGTCCAAGCCAGGCGTGTGGACTCTAAGTCCTGCACACCTTCCAGCTACAGGGTACCAGGAGCAGCTGATGGTCCCTAAGTGCTTCCCAGGTGTGGGGTGCATGCGAGGCCAGTCAGAGGAGCAGCTCGTCCCCCTCTGCAGCGTGGGCCCCCTTAGCCGTCAGGTAAGGCT